GCCGCTTCGGGGGATCCTCGCATTCGGAGACGAAATGAATATCCCCAATTGCCAGGAAACTGAATGGATATCCCGAATTGCCAGTTGCCCTCCAAAATCAAAATGGGGTCTTTTCTGTGAGACTGGAAACGGACATTTCTTGGAATCAACAAAGTGGCCCCTTTATGCCCCGTTCTCCAACCACGGAAATGGGCTTGTCCAAAAAACGCGAGCGGAAGGGTATCGCTCGCCTCGCGGTGAGCTGGGGCATGGTGAGGCAGTCCGCATAGGGCAGGACACCCCCGAACAGCTCCTGGGCCGAACTGGCAGCTCTCCGCATTTTTTGTCTAACTGCTATACGTCTAGGTCGATCCCTTGAAGTGAAGATTTGAGGGGGTGCTGAACCTCTCGTTTGGGGATGGCTTCCCTCTCAACCAGCTTTGCTTACTAAATTTGAGGATGTCCCTTTAGTGGACTCGGTGTTTGCCCCATAGGCTCGTTCAACTGTGCTATACAACCTGCAGGCTTGAACCCCAAGATGACGATTGCTGGTAGCACATTGATACGAGCCAACATCAAGAAAAAACAACTGTCAAGCAGCACTACCGAGAAAACCCACCCGGAAATCTGCCATGTCCCTTGAAACGCTGGTTTATGTTGATGAGTTCTGATGTCTCCCCAGCAAGCCGAAGGCAGGCTTCACTCTGGATTGGGTTGCTCCCTGCGAAAGAGTGCCAAACATGAGTGAGTGGATTTGTGTGGGACCCCCGTCCCCCGCCACATGGAGCCCGGTTCCGCGTTAGTCTCCTGTCAAAATCAGAATGACAAAGACTTAACACAAAGCTCCCTCGTCCAGTGCTGGTCAAAATGACTGTTCCCCCCAAAGGACACGGTACAATTAGTGTTTCCTGATTCTTTGTGTGGAAGTTTAGTTTGTCCTCCATGTCCCTCCGGCAAAATTTCCGAACTTTTGGGGATGAATTTCAATAGTAGAGCCTTTGGTCGACATGATTTCGGAACTTTGTCCGCCAAGCACTTTTAACAAGGTTCCCCATTGAAATTCATACTCATTTTTCCCAAGCCAAAAGCCCCGGAGATCATCAGATCGGCACGCCGAGCCGCGATGAGGATGCAGCCGGCGGCCCAGATATCAACCTTCTCCTTAGCACTGTTGGGTTCCTACAGCACTGTGGGCTTCAGAAAAACTCGGCAACCAGAATCCCTCTGAAGGACCAGCTAAGTTTTGGGACTAGCTAAGTTTTAAGACGAAACAACTTTTTCAAAATGAGCTCTGCGTTGAAGAAACGCCGCCCAGCGGCAGGCTAAATCTTACGCGCAAAGGACACCTTGGAAGAACGTCACTTCGGATTTGTTGAAGAGGTGATGTGTCAACCCACCAAGGTGAACAATCCAGAGAACAAGTGTGGATTGAACATGTATCCAGCTACTTCCCAAGGTATGTATCTCTACCCATGTTCGGGTTCACTTTTAGTGGGTGAGCTACTCCCCTGCGGATTTAAGGAGGGAACCCAAGAAGGGGTTCTGCAAAAGAGGCCTCGCGAAGCACGCTGGCTGTTGCTACAGAAGGTGTTGGGTTCCACGTCAATCTGCGCGGAAGTGGAGCTGAACCTGGTTCTCCGATCACCACCATCCCGTGGGGCCGTTTCTGAAAAGCACATGGCCAGAACAGCACACAGCACTCCTGAAAAGGCCAGAGCGTGGCATGTGTGAACAGTAGGCAGAACAAGGACATGTGGCCATGGGTCAAAATCCCGTACCCCCAGTGAACATCCCAATCCCCACTAAAGTAGACTAAAATAGGTGGTGCACCTACCCCAAAATGGTAGTATTGGTGTTGACCCACAGCCATGTGAGGAATCCTGGCGTGCCTTTCCACTGACTTTAAATGCTTGGATGTTGGTCCAGCAAATGGAAAACAAACATCTGCTGCCTGCATACCATACCACCAGGGTTTGCCCTTTGACCCCCTTCTTTGGCAAACAAAGGGACCCCCCTTCAAAAAAGGTTTCAGGTCAAATTCTTTATCTCACCCCAAACAAAGGGGGCCTCTCAGGCACACCTTGCACACAAGACCCCCCACCTCCCCCGGCGCCACGGTCTCGTCGGCTCTTCGGCTCGTTGGCTCGTGGCCCAGTGGCCGTGAGCTTCCCGATCTTGGCGTCGTAGCACTCGGGCGCCATGTACCGCGGGGAGCCGCCCTCGCCGTCCAGCTTCCGGGCGATGTGGGTGGACCTCGGGGCGGGCGCATTCTCTCGTCACCAGGAGCCTCGCGGAGTCTTGTTGGAGTTGGCACTCGGTCTTTTTCGGGGGGTCTTTAAAGAGAAATGAACGAGAAACCACTCATTTTGTACAGTTGGTGCTCTTTGGGGGGCTGTTTCCAGAGGAGAACCCACGAGACACCGGGCCCCAAATCAGAAGGAGTCCCCAATGGTTTCTGTTTCCCCGCCGCTTCGCCTGCGGCTGGCCTTCAGCCAAAACCTGTTCGACCATTGCTCCATGTGCAAAGTTCCATGGAGTCGCCAAATCCCCGTAGCTGAACCGCGTCTTTGTGTTGATTCGAGGGGCTCCATGCACATCTGGTGCGCCAAGCCGAAGTCGCAGATCTTGGCGTTCTGCGCGGAGTCCAGCAAGATGTTCATGGACTTCCTGAGAGCCAACGGCCAGCGCTAACTTGGTTTTTCCTCCCATGACCATGGCGGAAAAATTTGGGTAAAGTAGTCACAAGCCCCGTTCGAATTATCTGGGCCCCTACTGGAGAGGCGCTACTTGCTGGGGTCATGGTTTGTAGTTCGGGAATCAACTTCCAGGGGCTTCGGGGATGAAACGGAAGGGGATTCCCTGGAAGGATTCTGTGCTCATATGGGTGCTGAGAACCAGCAAGTGGGGCCGAGCAGGCACAAGGCTCGATGGAACCGTGCTCGAACAGAAACATGGTCCGACAAAAGGGGACACCTCCAACTGAGTGGGACCAAGGGAAACCTGAGAAGTTCAAACAGATTGGCTTTGCTTGCGTTAGTCAGTTAGTCCTCCGACTCGGACTCCCGGTGTCAGACTCAACCCGCATGGTGATCAAGTCAAAGACATGGTGATAAACAAAATGCCCGGCGTGTGTCCCTTTCCCCCGGTACCAGAATTGCAAGCTGCCCAAGCTGCAGCAAGCTGGAGGTCTTACGCCTTTCAACATCTCAAAATGGGCAAACAACAACGTTCGAACCACGTACCAAGGAGAATCCAGTGACCCCTGTGAGTTCCCAAAGTAGAGGAAGCCACCATCCAGCCGGACCTTTGCTTCACCAGTCGGTTGGGCATTGTGTTCTAATGCCAATCTGGAAACAAGGACCCCCCCCAACTGTTTGTGTACTTTATGCTTCTTACCCCTAAACAGGCTTGTTCTGATTTCCCCAAACAGCAAATCCGTTCGAGCGCGGCCAGAAAAGCCACTCCCTCGCACCATTCCAAGCAAGCGGCAGGTCGCGGTGCACTACCCGCTGCGCGTGTAGGAAGGCGAGGCCCTAGCGCGGAAAAAGCCAAAAGGTCACCCTTTGGGCTCCATTTCTTGGTAGAGCCAACGAGGGAGCCCTCTATGGGTGCCCGATTTTGAGACATCCCAAAACATGAAGATCAAGACTCATGGGCAAGGTGCCAAACTTGTTGGAGGGTTTGTTAAAGGGAAGCCAAACAAAAAAAACAAAAGGCGCCTATGTTACGGGGGTCCATATGGGTGCGTGTCAAAAGAAGGGGACCGCCACAAATGATAATTGTCTCATAAGTGTCCCTTCAATTCCCCCCTAAAAAGGGGGAACCCTTTTTGAAGACAAAACCATATTGACGACCCCGCCTGCAGGGCCAGCGGCGGCTTGTTACTGACTGGATTTGGGGGGGGGGGGGGAGGTTTCCTTCACGACTTTGGGGTCCAAGAGAAAGATTCACCCTTGGGGCGAGAAAAAAACGGCGACTCCATCCCTCGACTTCTACTTCCCAAGTCTTTGGCAATAGGGAAGTCTAGGTATCTTAAGTGCGGATCCTGGCAGGCAAGTCTCCACAAGGATTCCAATCCTAAGGTGCCCTCACGAGATAAATAGACACAGTCCGCTGGGAACTTAATAGAACCAAACTGAAACCAGTGCAATATCCATCTTTGTCCATTCCCAAATTCGCCCAAAAAGAACCGACCGTTCTATATGTCCATCCTGCCCCTTCCCCCCACTCCCCTCCCCATCCCCGGCCAAAATGCCTGGCCCCCCCGATCGGCCCGGCCTCCGCGGTCTGGCAGGCGATGAGCCACCGCTGGGAGGAGGACAAGCTCAGGGCCTTCCGGCACCCGAAGAGCCGGTCGTGCAGCGACCCCCCGGCCATGTACTCCTCAAGGCGCGCGAGCGAAGGAGGAGGCAGTGCACGCACGGGCGACCTTTTGGCGACCGATCGAAGTTCAAACGCGCCAACCAAAACATGGTCAAAGGGGTCTGTCACCAAAAGGTGGATGAAACAAATAGCCTGGCTCTAACCATAGCACCAAGACCCCGTGCAAAACACCATCTCCCCAAGACACCTCCCCTCCCGTGGCTCCCCAGTAACTCCCCCCCAATGGCTCCGTGACCACCAGCAGCAGCGGGGGCTGCACACAGGCCCCGATGAACCGCACCAGCCGGGGGTGCCGCAGCCGGCGCAGGGCGTCCACCTCCTTCTTCATGGCCTATGGGTTGTCTTCCATGGCCCTGAACTCTGTGCCTCCCTCAGACGATTTCAGTACTTCAGGGTTTCAGGGTTGCCGACAAACAGAGGCTCATAGAAAGGACACTCGCCAAGCACAAAAATGCATGCAATGCTAGATTGTAGGGGTCTTCTACATACCCTCCAGCAATGGAAGCTGGCGATCGGATGGTTTTGGGACACGAAAGCTGTCTCTTTGGGGAAGCCTGCGACCACTGCCCGTCCTCTCAGAAAGCCCTGCCAAGGGTGGAACCCCTTAGAAAAACACACATGTTTGTTGGGTTGCTCAGCTAGCAATAAACTCGGGATCCATATCAGGCCTTCACATCATCAGATGGGCTCCTACATTCAGCCTCCATGTAAAATCTGCTCGACCTGTTTGTTGGTTTCCCATGAAAGGGGGCGGGGTACTTGATAAATGGCGAGCATGGCCGCCTTTCCATGCAAAGTGCCACGGTTTCCCCCAATGGACTTGAGACGTCCCGTGCTTAAGTAGCATGCCCAAAGGTGCAGGGGAGGTGGTTGAGGCGGCGGTGGGAGCCAGGGCAGAGTGGTTGGAGTGGTGGGGTGTGAACTGTGTGGGGTGTGAACTGTGTGGGGTGTGAACTGTGTGGGGTGTGAACTGTGTGGGGTGTGAACTGTGTGGGGTGTGAACTGTGTGGGGTGTGAACTGTGTGGGGTGTGAACTGTGTGGGGTGTGAACTGTGTGGGGTGTGAACTGTGTGGGGTGTGAACTGTGTGGGGTGTGAACTGTGTGGGGTGTGAACTGTGTGGGGTGTGAACTGTGTGGGGTGTGAACTGTGTGGGGTGTGAACTGTGTGGGGTGTGAACTGTGTGGGGTGTGAACTGTGTGGGGTGTGAACTGTGTGGGGTGTGAACTGTGTGGGGTGTGAACTGTGTGGGGTGTGAACTGGGTGGGGTGTGAACTGGGTGGGGTGTGAACTGTGTGGGGTGTGAACTGTGTGGGGTGTGAACTGTGTGGGGTGTGAACTGTGTGGGGTGTGAACTGTGTGGGGTGTGAACTGTGTGGGGTGTGAACTGTGTGGGGTGTGAACTGTGGGGTGTGAACTGTGTGGGGTGTGAACTGTGTGGGGTGTGAACTGTGTGGGGTGTGAACTGTGTGGGGTGTGAACTGTGTGGGGTGTGAACTGTGTGGGGTGTGAACTGTGTGGGGTGTGAACTGGGGTGTGTGGATGTGAACTGTGTGGGGTGTGCACTGTGTGGGGTGTGAACTGTGTGGTGTGTGTGAACTGAACTGTGTGGGTGTGAACTGTGTGGGGTGTGAACTGTGTGGGGTGTGAACTGTGGGGTGTGAACTGTGTGGGGTGTGAACTGTGTGGGGTGTGAACTGAACTGTGGGGTGTGAACTGTGTGGGGTGTGAACTGTGTGGGGTGTGAACTGTGTGGGGTGTGAACTGTGTGGGGTGTGAACTGTGTGGGGTGTGAACTGTGTGGGTGTGAACTGTGGGGTGTGAACTGTGTGGGGTGTGAACTGTGTGGGGTGTGAACTGTGTGGGGTGTGAACTGTGTGGGGTGTGAACTGTGTGGGGTGTGAACTGTGTGGGGTGATGGGGTGATGGGGTGATGGGGTGATGGGGTGATGGGTGATGGGGTGATGGGGGTGATGGGGTGATGGGGTGATGGGGTGATGGGGTGATGGGGTGATGGGGTGATGGGGTGATGGGGTGATGGGGTGATGGGGTGATGGGGTGATGGGGTGATGGGGTGATGGGGTGATGGGGTGATGGGGTGATGGGGTGATGGGGTGATGGGGTGATGGGGTGATGGGGTGATGGGGTGGCGAGGGTATGGTTGTTTCGACGTATCAAGATGCCAAAACGGCAGCCCGTGAGGGCTGATCCTGAAGGAAGCCTTGTTCCAGCAATTATCGTTTAATGCTACATGCCTTCTTCTCTCTAAGACTACATCGACTACCCCCAAAACCACTACCCCCAGAAGCCAATGGATATATACAGGGTATATAAAGGTTAGGAAAGGGCTATATAAGGGTTATACGAGGGCGCCTCAATTTGTGCATATTTGGCTGCTGCAGAAACCAGGTAATTCTGGAGCTGCGGCATGTGGACGTTGAAACTTGTGAACATCAACGCTTGGTTTGCGCCGGTATCTTTGTTTAAGGTGAACATCAAAGCTTCGCTTTCTTGGCAGCCAGTTTGGTTTGCTACTTTGATCATGTCGCGTTGGAGGGACCGCCACATCCCTGGTTTTGGGGGTAGTGAGTCCCAAAACGCGCGGTTTGGGGGTAGTGGATTTGACTGGACGATTTGGGGGTAGTCACACGTCACCTGGTATGCGCGTGAAAAAGATGAATCACACCACTACCCCCAGTTTGGGGGTACTTGGGGGCGGTAGCGCGCGGATAGTGCGGGAGTTCTGGAGTCGGTGTGGGTGGCAACAGCCCCAAAATTGCATTTCGAATACCGGGACAATCGACCACAAAAGTTCACCACTTTTAGCCACGAGGTAGACGGGCACCAGGCTAAGCCATTCTGAAGAACTGTGCTGGTCGGGACTCGCCATTCTAGGGTCCACGCAGCTGCAGGCAAATAATTGCAAACATCAAGCAGTTTGAAGGGTCCGCTGGAGCACAAAATGTGGGCTTTTGGGGGTAGTGTTTTGGGGGTAGTGAGTTTGGTCTTAGATTCTCCTTTTGTCGCCCGAAGATATATATGTTTTGAAGGGAGCGGTGTGTAGCGCTGCCCCAGTTTGGGAAACATTCATTAAAAAGGGTGCAGACTCAGGAGTGATGAGTGTGCTGCTATCTGGCTTCTTTCAAGCAACCCGTAGTCGCGGTTGGTCCAACTTGGCCGCTGAAGCTTGGCACTGAGGTGAACCCCCCCCACCACCCACCCCTAGCGCCAAGCCCGCCTCCAAGTGCGCGAGCCCGGAGATGCGCTTCACGGCCACCTGCCCCGAAAGCATGTCTGTGCAGAAAAACCAAAAGTCGGGGGCTCCACCAAAAAAAAGGAACGGGGGGAAGACAACAGACCCGAAAACAAGGAATCACCCCAGGAAAGGGGAGCTGACATGCGCATGCATGCGCTGGCTTTGGGTGAGCTGGTCATAATTTTCAGAATGCCGAAAGAACCAAACAAATCAGCCAAAAAAGGCGTATCCTCCTTCACCGTGAAACCATCTTCCACCTCGCTGTGTCATCCTGTGATCCCAAGGCCCAAAGGCGAACTCTTGGGCTGGCCGGCCCCAGCCAGCCGGTGACAAGAGAACGGCATACCTCCCACAAGTAACCGGTACAGCTTGGGAGAAATCAGGCAAGGCGTTTGGTGCGATTTGTTGACCTTAAGGTTTCTAATCAGGCGCAGTCGTCTGAAAACGACCACGCCGCTCCCTTGTGTGGTTTGCCTTTTGACACCCCGTTTGTCAAACTAAGGGGACCCTCCCGGACACTTGAATAAAACCTCGCTCTAAGGGACCCTTCATTTTCCAGATATCTCCGAGCATACACGCTTGGACCTGGAATCACTGTAAGGCCGAGTCTACCAAGGGGTCCAAAGTGTCCGGCCGCAGAGCAACACCCGGCTTCCTGATTTGCGTGCTTCGCGAGCGCGCTTCTTGCATCAAACCCCATCTTCTTTGGAAGGCTCGTGTTTTCGGAGGAAGCCTGTGAAAATAGTACGGCATAGGCATCATGGGTATGCCTCCCAAGCAGGCAAACCCAGGCGTGTCACACCTTTTGTCAAAGTGCTCTGCAGGACCGGCGGCACACGGAGGGATTCCCCGTGACTTCCCTTTAAAGCAACCCCAAGGGTACCATCCAAAGGAACACCATCAAGACAAGACACACTTGGGATCTATTCAGGCTTCACTTGGCAGCCTGGAAGCAAAGCCAGCTGAAAAGTGTGGGTCCCATTTGGAGTTGGCACTTGTGTATTTGCACCTTGCTGGGGTGCTTCTCCCCTTTTGCCGCCGCTTCTCTTCATTGGGAACCAGATAATTTGTTTTCCTCCTCGAAGGCAAGCCACTGGACACCTCAGGCCAACACGGCCCCGGTGAAGCGCCTCCTGGCCGTTCCAAGAGCCTTTGAAGACCTGCGCGGAGCCGCCGGCGCCTGGCAGGCGAACCGCGCTTCTGGGAGTAGCACGTGTGCCTCAGAGTTGAGCTCCCAATAGATGATGTAACATACGGAACATTTCCGGTTGGATGGAATCGTCCGTTCTTGTGCTTGCTCTCCGTTTTGTGTGTTTTTTTTGTTTTGTGCTTCTTCTTTTTTTTTTGGGGGGGGGGACTGCAGCCTTGGGGCCAGGTGTTGTCCCTTGCGTTCTGATGGTGGTCTCAGCCATCCTTGACATCATGTAGCACTCGGCTCACTCCGATGTCCATCCAATGTCCATTCAATTGCGGCCTCTGAACATCATACAGCGTTGGATTGCGCCAGCAACATTGAACTTTCCAGCAACCAACTGGTCATAGAAAACAGTCACATAAGAAGCTCACAGGAAAGTGCTAAGGAATCTGAGCGTGAACCAACAACCAAAAATACAATGGTCCAACTATGGGAAACCATGCCCGGGTTTCTTTCGGGGTCTCCCGGAAGTACCCAAAAAATTGCCTTAGGCCGAAAAAAACAACACGATCTTGGCTTGCAAAGGCTTCCTTGCCGCTGAGGCCACCTGAAAAAGGTGGAGGGATACCCATAGCCCAACAGGCGATGCCGGAACATCATAACCCCAAGGAATGCCACCCCAGGATCACTCACCTCAAGCGAAGATTCTTCTATAGGTGCATCTTGCCATGTCACACGGATGTTTCCCAAACAAAGGTAGCCCCGTGTGGTATAGCTTTTCAAGGGAAACAAAGGTAGACCCACCATGAAAACCTCCCGGAGGTCCTACTTTGGAACCCCCAATGTCCTCAACCCCCGAACCGAGTGCGCACCTAGCTGCGGGCCCAGCATCAGCTGCTCCGGGCGGATGAGCTCATTCCAGCCTCACGGCCAATGGCTAGCGCTGGCCTCATGATTTTACCATCAAAGTCACCCCCTAAGTGGGTTAAAGGGAAACAACCCCATTTTCGGACTTTGATAACCCCCAGAAACCGACAAAATAATGACACCAGTAGCGGGCGCAGGAGATTTGACAGACGCACAAACACTGCCTGTCGTTGCTGGTTGTGTTGCATCCTTGTTTTTACTGGTTTGACCCATGCCATGCTCCAGCGTCCCAGGTGTATGTTGGCAACAGGAAAGTATACCAAGGCCAAACTCTCCCTTAGGAACCTGCGAAATGACTCCATCCATCCCCTCCAATTCATAATTGGGGACCTGTGAACATCATGTTCATGCGGCTGCATTGAAACCATCCTTACTTGCATATGCCTTGTGGGTGGGTATTAGTCAACTTTGGGCCAGTCCAGCAAGGCGGTGGGAAATGACCACTTCTGTGATACAACAGAAAGGGCTAAAGACTAACCCCCCCTCACTAAAGGGGAGATTTCCTTGTATCACAGAAGTGGGGATAAACCCCTTGATCCCAAAACCCTGATGTACAGTAAGACCTCCCATCAAAGGTCACCTTCTCATCGCGGCACTCCCCTTGGAGCAGACCTCCTTCAACAGGCACACGCCCATGCGGAATCAGGCTCAAGAAGATGCAGCACGTATCTACACACGCGGTGTCAAGTCTTCGTTGCTTTGCCAAGACATATTAGCAGATACCGGTACTACATGTGAACTCTATATCGTGTAATATATACATATATATATATATATATGTGCGTACATGTATCGTCCAAGTGTCATCTCTGTATCTATAGTCACATTTTGTACAATATATATATATATATATACACATACATACATACATATATATATATATATCCGCCGACATTGCTCGGCGTGTCGGACACCTAAGAGAGGATAGAGGATAACCCCCCCCCCTAACCCCCCGCCCACCCGACGTCTGATACGTGGGGGGGGGGGGGGGGCCCCCCCCCCCCAAGGACCGCGCGGCAATTTGATGACGTTCCACTAAACGTAGTCTTCGGGGACCCGGTGTCGCAAAACAGGGGTCCCAGGCTCGATTCCCCCTGCCGGCTTTTTTGCTGGCTTGGGCTTCCTGCATCCTTTTGCCGAAAATCTGGAAAAACTCTGTGTTTTTGGACATCATCTTTGCGAAAACGCTGGAAAAACAGTGTTTTTTGCGGGAAATACTGGGGAGCAAAGGGGAAGTGCAAGGATACATACATACATACAGACATACATACATACATACATACATACATTACATTACATACATACATACATACACATACATACATACATACATACATACATACATACATACATACATACATACATACATACATACATACATACATACATTACATTACATACATACATTACATTACATACATACATACATACATACATACATACATACATACATACATACATTTACATACATACATACATACATACATACATACATACATACATACATACATACATACATACATACATACATACATACATACATACATACATTACATACATACATACATACATACATACATACATACATACATACATACATACATACATACATACATACATACATACATACATACATACATTACATACATACATACATACATACATACATACATACATACATACATACATACATACATACATACATACATACATACATACATACATACATACATACATACATACATACATACATACATACATACATACATACATACATACATACATACATACATACATACATACATACATACATACATACATACATACATACATACATACATACATTACATACATACATACATACATACATACATACATACATACATACATACATACATACATACATACATACATACATACATACATACATACATACATACATACATACATACGAGAGAGGGAGATTGGGGAGAGAGTGGCTTGGGGGGATGGGGAGGATGGGGAGCGGAGGGAGGGAGAGAGGACGACAGAACACACCAGGGAGACAAGGGAGAGAGGAAGAAGGAGAAAAGGGAGAGGACAATGTCGGCGGACTGAGCCGGAGGCTCTAAAGTATATTATACATATATATATATATATGTGCATGGTCAGGCCCCCAACCCATGAACTACCCGTCCTTCTTTCTTCCTATATATATATATATATATATATCCACATGCTGGCAAAGCGAACCACCCGCACTCCCTCCCCCTCTCGCATCGCCACCGCCCGCTCGCGCCCACTTTTTAAGCCCCTCGGGGCTTGGGGCTCCGCAGCCTCGCGTCGCGTCTCGCGGCGCCTTCGGCGCCGCGCGCCGCTCGTGGCTCTTTAGGCCCCAGGCGCGAGAACACCCCGAGGTCTCACGAAGATTTGGAGGGTCAGACATACCCAAAATGGCTTGCCCTGGAAAATGGAGCCAAGGACGAAAAACCTACATCACCAACGTTTGGAATGAAGTCTGGATATGGAACCCTGACAATTCAACACAAAAAAGACTCGGGATTTTGCCACCATCTTCACGGATGAGCTCGTTTTACCCCAGAGCTCGCGTTTAATTCGTGCAGAAACCCATGGCCTCGGCGCAAGCCGCGACAACTTGCGGCCGCCCTTGGTGCTTCGCAGCGGGCGAACCGGTGCGCGGGCGCCGGCGGCCGGGCAGGGGCCATTCAAAGCAGGCCGTTTGTAGGTCTCACGGGCATCGGCGGGGATCCCGAGGTCTACAAATAGACTAAGTTGGGTGACTGCACGTGAGTTGGAATTCTTGGACTTGCGTGACAGCCATGCAAGATTGAAGTAGAGACTTGCGAAACCCGACACTGCAAAACCTGCATGCCTTTCCACAAACGACAACACTATCCACGAATTGGAAGTGAGTATTTCCACTGGTTCCATGCAAGGGTTCTGAACCTCGGACTGGCAAACATGATAGCCTCACCTCATTGCATGACTTGTTGGGAGGGTGTTCTGCCACAGTTTTGAGGATCCTTGTCGCTCGACCTTGACCCGCCGCGCCAAATCAAAGCCTTCATTCCCTGATGGCGTGTTTTTTAGCTCTTGTACTTCCTTCCTATGCACGCGCTGGAGTCATTCCAGGCTTCCCCTCGGCTTCGCTTGGACACTTCCTGTCGTCCTTCCCAAACCGCAGACCTCAAGGCCTTGGGATCCCAAGCTGAAGGCCCCTCGAATCGATTTGAGTCCCCCGGCGCCAAAAACTGCCGCCGGGGGCACTAAAAGTGCGGGCACTAAATCGGACCTTTGGCGGACATCATGTACACCTGCTTCTAAATCGGACAGCTTGTGACAGTCATTGCTCACATAAAAGCCAACACATCATGTCCTGAACTACATGCTTGGATGTGCACCCACCTGTTTCAGGGAGCTCCTGCCAGCTTTGGCCAGTGCACGGGCCGCGTCGCTGGGTCAGCTCAGGGCAGCAGCTCGCTGGGCTTCCCGAAGAGGAGCCCGTAGAGGCCCTCCAGGTGTCCACCGGTGGTGTGGATCAGGCTGTACCCCGCCGTGTAGATCCTGACGGCGTGGGCGACCCCCGACCCCCGCCGCCAGCTTTGGAGCTGGGAAAGCGAAACGAGTAATAGACAAATCAAACATCGAGGAAGCTTGACGGAAAGCTTCACGCTTGGTGAAGCATGGGAATGCTTGAAGGAACCCAAAAACATCGCCTGCCCGTGACGGCCCGACGACGTCAATTTAACCGGTTCAGGTACAGGTTGGAGTCTTTGCAGAGAGCTGAAGAGGAATGGGAGCTTCTCATAATGGACCCCCTGCCGGTTGGTATTTGAAGGGAAACCAAAAGGCAAGCCTTACCATTTCAGGAAATGGACGTGATTCCTATTCCTGCCCCCTTCAACGGCGCATGGGGTTTGGGTGGGCCCTTAAGGGATTTTGAGACACTCAGGTGAACCTTCAGCCTTTAGCTTGCTCTTTGGATATGTCTTGGATGCATGGGATTTTGAGACACTCAAATCTTTGTTGTGAAGGTAAACCTTCTTTCCAATCAGGGAAGATGACGATCGGGCGTTGGAAGACTACATTCTGCTTGAAGAGGCCTGTCCACTTCCATGATCGTGGAAAAAAGGGTAACGAGCGCGTCGGCAGCATTTAGGTCACCCACTTTTGAGGTCCCAAAACTTGAGTGTGTTCTTCCTCTTCGCTTCCTCTTAAAACCAACCAAGGGGTTTTTGTTCTGCAAAAAACGAATTGGATGCCAAGGGTCATGCCACTGTCTGCCACCATCACCGAGTAGGACCACCCCGCCGCCACCTCCATGACCTTCTCACTCAGCTCCATCTGCACCGGGCTTCGGTGCTCCTGGCGCCCGAAGAGCGCGGAGAGTTTGTTCGGTCGCGCGGCTGCCCCGGTCATCAAGCTGCTTACCAATTGTTGTCCACATACTCCTCCATTTGCTTAAGTCCCCTAAAGAAAAAACAAAAAGTAGTGACAGATTCCCTTTAAAACCAACAGGGGAAAGTAAAGCACTTAACCAAATGGAAGTACTTCGAGTGAACAATCTAAGTGAGGGGACAAGATGCTTCTCACCCCCTTTCCATCGTTCCCCGCCCCTCCATACAAAGTGTCCCCAGGAAAATGAGTGGGAAGGAACGTTCCCCCCCTCCATACAGTACTTTCCGCTTGTGGTTCAGGGATCCTTTCTCAACTTGAAGCGGTTTAGAACAAAAGGGATCGGTGTGCCGGTCTACCGCTTTGGTGCGGATTGGGAGTCCGCGTCCCAGTTTGGCGACAGTCTCTACTTCGGTGCTTGCCCCCCCCCCCCGTTGAAAAAGAAACGTGAACCTTGGGATGGGAAATGAAAAAAATCCCGCAAAAGCCAAAAAGACCAAAGCCTTAGTGTGAAGTCCAACCCCACTTCGTAAAAAAGTTCCAAACATGAGCAAACCTAAGAATCTAACCCAACCCCAAAGGCGTCTGTTGCCAAAGGGAC